CTGCACTGGCATCGTCAACTTCGCCTACTGCGTCATGCTCCCCAGTGCTCCATCTGTGTCCTGTACTTTATTTGGGGGGGGGGGGGGGGAGGGGCAATACTGGCACTTCAGGTGTAGGGGGCAAGGGGGGGGGGGGATGGGGTGGGGGACATCATGCCCCCAATGAACCTCTCCAGGCGTTGTTCTAGAGTAGACTAACCATAGGCGGAGTGTACACATGCAACACATAGTATGGGAGTTACATGTAGAACGCGATCAAACTCGGGCATATATTCAAGGCAGATGAGTCTAGTGTGATAGTAGTCCTGTACTGATCTCACTATGGTGATATAGGTCGTGCCCAGCATCACAATGCCCAACATTATAAATGACTGTTTTTTTGCCTGGGGGGCTAGATGAACATGTGGCTAGACTGCGGATGGCAACCAACTGGCTCAAGGCTGCGTTGAGACTTCGTGTGCGCGACCCGAGTCAATTGTTCACTCACCATGACTAGGCATCGCATTGAGCATCGTATGACCACTTATATATGTCACTGTTCTTAGTCGCACCGGGGGCGCATGCCCGTTTTCAGGAGACTTCTCAAAACACATAAGCCCTGTGCCCAGTGAAGGTTAGGCCTATTGTTAGTCCGAATAGTCCTGGCTACTATCCCGCTAAGTTCATTCACTTTCTTCTGAACCCGCATGTATGTGAGGAAAGTACTGTTCTGACCTCAACTGCGGATTTCATCAACTTGGTAGAAGGTTTGCCTGTGCGAGACGATCATTTATATTTGAGTATAGATGTGACCAGCCTTTACACCAACATCCCCAACGAGCTCGGTTGTCGTGGTATATCACATACAGGTGTACAAGGTGGATGCCCCTGGCCCTTCGTACATGGTTAATAACAGCAGTGACTTCCTTGATGTCAGTCATTCGGAAGAAAAATGAGTTTGTGTATGGTAACGATGTGTTTCGGCAGATCCAAGGGACTGCCATGGGTTCGCCTGCAGCAGTGGTCTATGCCGACATTGTTATTATGCGGCTGTATTTGGAGAAGTGGTACGTTTTTCCGATCTTAGAGGGGGAGGGTTAAGAGGTTCAGGTTTATAGACGCTTTATCATTGCATGGTTGCGAAGGTCAAGTTCAGCGCACTTTAGATAGGATTAATAAGTGTTCTGTAGTGTATGGCTGATGATACACTCAGGGACATTTCTTACGTCATCATTATCGTATTGACGTCACACCATGCGCAGATCATTTTAGTATGTCTGCCTTTTGTATTGACACACGTGTCTCCTTGTTCTTGTTCCGTTGACATAATTTACTTGCAATTGTAGTTGGTCTTCTTCTAGTCTCCATGTAATCGATCATAGAATAAACCGAACCCCGTCTCTAGCTGAGACACTACAATTCCATCTTCGTCGCCAATGGTAGTGTCTCAGCTAGAGACGGGGTTCGGTTTATTCTATGATCGATTACATGGAGACTAGAAGAAGACCAACTACAATTGCAAGTAAATTATGTCAACGGAACAAGAACAAGGAGACACGTGTGTAAATACAAAAGGCAGACATACTAAAATGATCTGCGCATGGTGTGACGTCAATACGATAATGATGACGTAAGAAATGTCCCTGAGTGTATCATCAGCCATACACTACATGTTCGGCCCTCAAGTTTGCTCATGAACTGGCACATGATGGCATTGATTTCCTGGACACCACAGTTTTCCGCAGTAAGGGATACATGGCGGTGAAGCCTCATTTCAAGTTCACCAATCGTTTCCTGTATCTGCTTGTCGGTAGTAACCACCCCTGTAATAATAATAATAATAATAATACCACAGTACGCGTACAAAGGCCAAAGAACAATGCATGAGAATACACTGAAATAAAGCCAAGTCCGCTTCTGTCTCCAGTCAACAATAAACTCATCCATAAACTATGTCTGATCTCCATTTCGACTTGTCTGCAGCAATTGCTCGTGCTCCTTCTAGGTCGCTGGCATTCTTCAAAGGAATGTCGTGCCCTGCCAGGTCCTTCATGATGGTGGTAGGGAGAGTAGCCGCGGGACGGCCCCTTCGTCCACGTGACCCCGCTACATACTACCACCCCTGTAGTATGGGCAAAGGTGTGTTCACTGGGGAGTTGATCCGTATCCGTCGGTCTTCGACCCTTGACTACCACTACGAACCTGCTGCCGAGCGGCCGGAGCAGGCTTTCCGGGCCCGTGTATGCAAGCGCTCCATCTTTCATCTTTCAGACCCGTACACTAGGAATGGATGCGCAGGGAAGGTATGTTGGTCAGATTGGCATGGGTTTGGGTTATTTCTGTAGTTGTATACAGTGCTCCTCATTGTATTTACCTGGGCCCGGCCTGCTGTCCTTCGCCCGTTGGTCTTGAGGTCCAGGTGTAATACCCCTACCATACAGTCCAGTGGCCAGCGCGGCCCGGTAAATTGTTGTTACAAGGTGGAACATCGGCAAGAGGTTGCTTGCTCGTTTGCCTCATGCCTCATGCTCAGTGTCCTCAGGGAGTTGGTATTTTGCTCCTGTTTGGATTTTGCAGTGTCTATGGTGTCCGTAATTAAGTTTTTGTTCTGTGTCCTTTTCTGTGGTGTTTGGTCATTGTTCACACATCTTTTTTTGACTTGATTCCTGGTGTTGTGTATCCTTTTGTTTTATCATTGGTGTTGGTCTGGCTGTAGAGTTCTAGCATCCGTAGCTGCCTCAGGGGCGCCACTTCTCCCATCAGCGTCGACTAGTCCGCCGGTACGTGGTGCTTTATTGCGTGCAGTTGTCTGCTCCATCCTGTACGGGCTGTGTCCTGCTGATCACACAGTCTGGGTCTCCATACGTTGCATGTTCTCATTGTGTTGTGTCCGTCCCAGGCTGTGTTCTGAGGTCTTTGACTTGGAGTATGCTCTGCATTGTGTGTGGCTCCTGTCAGTCTTCACTGTAGACTCTATTTTGTGGCTGAGGGGCATTGTTAAGGCAGGGCATCGTCTTTTTTCCTGGTCATCACCGCCGTATGTTCTGTGTTGTTTGCCTTTTCTTTGTGGTTGGCTTCAGTTCTATTTAGCATTGCTGCGTTCCTATGCCACCGTGCCGGTCTCCGCTAGGCCAGTGTCTTGTCATGCTGTGCTACAGTGCCGTGTCTATCCCTGTGAGTGGTCCTAGCACCCCGTCTCGCCAAAGCCTGAGTGTTCACATCAAGTACGTTTGGGGGCTGTGCAGTCCGTCTCTTGTCTCTGTTTTCTTCTGTGGGATAAAGGATTGTTTGTGGTTATATCTGTGCTTTCCTGGTGGCTGTGATGGCGTTTTCCACCTCTTGTTAGATAGACAACCTACACCAGTATCAAGTACAGTCATAACTCGCTTATCCGGTCCTCATTGATCCGGACTACACACCATCCGGAAGAAGATTGCTGGCAACCAGTTTACAACATATGTTACACTTACAACCTAACCAGACCCCACATAACGGGCATGGTTTTGTGATTAAAAGGGTTCACATAGCATATCAGAAGCCAGAACCAGGGAGTTGCACAAACAAAAGGGGTTTGTTGTATGGTTGGCTTGTTTTACAGAATGTGCATGGTAACTGTACTGCATGTGGCGCATCTACATGTACATGTACGCACGATGTCACATCTTTTGATATGCCATGTGCATAATACACTCTAGAGTATGTAATGTTATGTTCGTTTATCCGGCTCCTCGCCTATTCTGTTTTAAAACTAAAAGCAAGCTTGGACTGTATTACGTTCCCTGGGACAGGGGTATAATATGCATTGATCCCTAGGATGAATACCTTGAACTGTCCATCTATTTATTACCTTGATAGTTGATACCCTCAATCTATTTCTGCAACTTGTCCTCGCCCACTTACTGCAGTGTGGCGAGCCTGTACATGCCAGCTTGGAGTATCAATGCGTGTTGAGTGATGGTCTCGTGATGCATGCCGCTAATTATTATGCGCCGAGTGTGGTCTGCAATTTGCTTTTGGCACTGCTGCTACTGTTGCCTTCACATGTGCTGCGGTAGATGGTTGGATGCAGTTTGGTTGGTCCATTCCTGCGGAGCTGATTCCTATTCAGCAATTGCTCTAGCTTGCGCTGTTTGGGCTCATACTTGGTCTGGCAAGCGGCTTATGTTCTATTGTGATAATGAGGCTGCTCTGCTAGCTTGGCGGAAAGGGTCTTGCCGAAAAAAAATGGCCATTGCATTCTTCTTACGGCAACAACTTTAACTTGTTTGCTGGCTAAAGCTGAGTCTGGCAATTACATGTTAAAACTAGCAATGTGCTGTCTGAACAATAAAAAAATTCAGAAAGCACATTGTTGCCCTGTCCTGCCCTGCCCTACCCTGGCCCCTGTAGGTAAGAACTGCACAGCACTGACAGCGCCTTTCAACGGCAAGGTGACCGGAACAGGTTTCACGCCCGGCACTGGTCTCTTCTTCGCCTGCAATGCACCCTACGTACTCCAGGGCAGCGTCGTGCGCTACTGCAACGTCTCCGGAACGTGGAGCGGCGTTCCTGCTACATGCTCAAGTAAGCGGTGCCAATGCTACTGTCATGTGTTCCTAATACTTCCTAATACCTCCTATCATGGTATCATGCCATCATGCTATCAGGCTGGCAGGCCAAATATTGTGTTGAATATCTATTTGAATGATATTAAATAGCTACTGCTGTGCAAAGATAAACGAAGCATGCTCTTGTAGCAGCGTATCATTAACAATTGTCCCTTGACGGATGTGTTCATTTTCTTTCTCTTTTATCTTCAGTCCCTGATATTCCCTGCAAGTACCACGAGTTCAAGTGCGGTGGCAGTGGTGGTTGCATCTCGACCACCAAGGTCTGCGACGGTGTGTGGTATGACTGCCCGGATGGCTCCGACTAGAGCAACCGCACTAGCACACGCGTAAGGACATTACAAGGCCACTGCTTCTCCAAGACACTGGTTTACTTCTTCTTGGTTTTCCTTACGTTGTGCTCGCAAAGTACACACAATGGCAGATGTTAATTGTTGGCATTGGTTTCCTGATGGTGTGTGTGTGTGTGTGTGTGCCTGTGTGTGTGTGCCTGTGTGTGTGTGCCTGTGTGTGTGTGTGTGTATATGTGTGTGTGTGTGTGTGTGTGTGTGTGTGCCTGTGCCTGTGCCTGTGTGTGTGTGTCTGTGTGTGTGTGCCTGTGTGTGTGTGTGTGTGTGTGTGTGTGTGCCTGTGCCTGTGTGTGCCTGTGCCTGTGTGTGTGTGTGCCTGTGTGTGTGTGCCTGTGTGTGTGTGTGTGTGTGTGTGTGTGTGTGTGCCTGTGTGTGTACGTGCCTGTGTGTGTACGTGCCTGTGACGTGTACAGCCGGTGTGTGCACACCGCTAGCTAAACCGACCAACGGCTACTCCCAGGGCACAAACTATTCTGCTGGAGGCAGCGTCGTCTTCGGCTGAAATTCCGGATACAACCTGCAGGGAAGCATTGTGCGCATCTGCCAGATTGACGGTTCCTGGAGTGGGGCAGCTGCCTCATGTAATCGTAAGTTGAATTTCAAGAGAGCCAATATATCCCTCTTGTGTAGAGAAGCTTCAGGCTTGTAGGAAGGCAGATTCTGGTGGTGTTGATCTTTCCTATTTACAGAGCATGTAATAGTCTGGGTGTTACCTGCCACTTTTCATCATCACAAATGATGATCGTGCTAATCACAGGACCCAGGACCAGTCGGGCATCTCAGCCTGAGTCCTTAGGATATATGTTATACTTGTAGGTGTATGGTTAGGGTTTTTCACCTGGTACCAGAACACTGAGTTGTTGGCATAAGCCGGTGACTTTTGTCGAGCCTGTTTTAGGCTACCACCTCCTCCAAATATACTAATATCTCTTGACTGTACGAAAGATGTGCCGAGCAGACACTTTCTTCATCTCTTGACTGCTTTGTGTGTTGTGTGTATGGGTACATGTATCCAGCCATTCAACTGCAGTGCCAGTCTGGCTACCTGCCCTGCCTGCGTTCCAGTGGCTGTATCCTGCCATCACAGCGATGCGACGGTGTTTGGTACGACTGTGCTGATGGCTCTGATGCACAGTACTGCCCAGGCAAGGTCACACCAGCTCCAGGTAAGCACCAGCAGCAGCACTGATAGTAGTACCATGACTTCTATTACAAGCAAAATGTAGAGCTACTCTTGACCGCTATTCACTGCTGTATCTATTCTATTACTTTGCATGGCCATGTTGAGGCAGTCTTCGCATCAATTTCCTTTACACAATGCGTGTACTACAATGTATTCAAAACCAACGTCTGTGCCACGCACACCTACGCAAACGTATTAGAGGTGAAACGAGTATATCGAATACTCGAGCGCTCGCTCGAAAATCCGAAAGGAGTGAGTACTCGTTTCGCAGAATACTCGAAGTATCTTATGCACAGTGTACTGTATGCTTGTCCATCAAGCACTTCTGTTACTCTGACCAGTACTGATAACCCATGCAAGCGTGAAATTATTGCTTGTCCCTACTTACCAACAAAAGACAGTAGTTCAGACTATTTCCTGCACTAGGCTGCATGCAAGGCTACATGTGTATCAGGTGTAGTACGTTCAGTGTTACGAGAGTGTGTGCAGTACATTGTTTTATGTTGTCAGTAAAATACTCGTACTCGCTCGTTTTTTCAAAGAGTACTCGAGTCTTCAATTTTGGCACTCGTTTCACCCCTAGGCCAAACATGCATGCACTGAATGCCTCTGCTCTGTGCACTCTGTGCTTGTGCAGGTCAAACCGACTGCCAGGTCCTGTTACCACCGGCACTGGGCTCAATGACCGTGAACGGCTTGATGCTCAGCAACACGACCACGTTTGTGTGCACATCTCCCTATGTCCTTATGGGCTTGGCCGTGCGTACTTGTGAAATCAACGGCCAGTGGAGCGGTGTGCAGCCAACTTGCGTCCGTAAGTACATGTACCAATGCTCGACTGGCTTGTATTATGCATTCCCGTTCATCACACCGCTCATACTGTCAAATGCTGCCTCTTCTCATTCACAATGGCATGGGTCACAGTAGATAGGCCTGGTGCAGGTATTGCCAGTTCCTTGCTTGCTGCAGTACAGTATGACATATTAACTTAGCTGGTAAGCAGTGCATGTGTGCATGGCAAGTGTCAATTTTGTCCATTGCTTCCCAACCCATGTGTAGTGACGACTGCGGCTCTGAGTGCGGCCAGTGACGAGCTAGTCAAGGACTTTGTCTCAGAACGCATGACACAAACGTGTAAGCCTAGTATTGCTGCTTAATTAAGAGTTTTGCCAGAACAATTTCCTTGTGGCAATTTCTCCTACTGCTGACTGCTGAAAATGTTGTGTCCTTCACAACTAGTCTCTTTGTTCTGAGAAGTCTGCCTCTTTCATCGATTCGTGTTTGCCTAGCTGCGTCACGCTATTAGTAGCCTATTACCTGTTGTGCAATGGGGCTGGCCTAAAAGCTGCTCGCTCAACAGCGGTGTTGCATGGCATAGAGAGAGAGACGGCAAGCCGCCTCGGTATATTCACGGATAGAGCTTTTAGTAGAAAGGAAAAGGACATATGGATACGAGTTAAAGGGGAAGTCCGGTGAAAAATTTAAATTTCAGGGTCGGTAGAGTTTCGGGCGCTGAGTCGAATGGTGTTGGTCCCACGTGTCTCCGACAAAGCGTTCTCGAGATATTTCCGTTTGAAAAACTGAGTTTCGGGGGCTGCGCAATGACGTCATGCGGCCGTGCCACACCCTCTGCAATGTCATAGCGTGCAGCTAGGTCAAAAGGAGTGCATGAAAGCAATAGTGTCAGTGCTATTTCAAATGATTTGGTGACTGATATTAGGTGGTGCAAGCAACCCCGAAGACCTGTAACTCCTTGTGAGAGTGAGGATGCAGCCATGGCTGACCTTCATGAGTTCGGTCTGGGGCTGAGAACCTCGGTATTCAGCTGAAGAAATGGCCGCACGGGCCGGTCAAGAGTCAGCGCTACTGAGTTTCCGACTGATGAAGAAGCAGCAGCTATTGCAGACGAGGCTGATGTAATTATCAGATCGCTGGAGAGCAGGGTCGCCAAAATGGAGAAGAGTGATGCGAGTGCTCTAAATGTTGTTCCATACCGATTAGATTCGCTTAGACTCCAGTAGCCTGCCACATGGTGATGTTTTGGTGCGAACTTGGAATATTTCGGACTACTCAATAGGAGAACAGTGCAGGCTCTTTGAACCACGGGCACGACTCTTCGCTCGCAACGCTATGGAATCTGAAAGTTCTAGGTCCGGAAGCTGTTCGCTGTTTTGTCACTTGTCACGGTTGTGCACTCATCGCTGTAGCATAAAATAATGAGGCGGGTGCGGAAAACTAAAATTTTCTTTCTCAAAGCACAACCACCGGCACCGGCAAGGAGAAACGCACGTTCTCTGACTACATGACTGTACAATACGACTGATACGAGTCGAGTGTATGACAAGTCCGTGTGTTGACTAGTTTTCTGAGTCTTGTGTCAGTTGTGACATGAGTTTGTTGACTGCACTACAGCTAGATAACACACTGCACGCACTGCATGCACGCAGCGCAGAGCGCGTAGAGCCGTAGACCATGGTAGACGGGCTGACGGAAAAGTCCAACTCGGAAACGGCTAAAATACGGTATAACCTCCAGGTTTACCGAGCTGAAAATCACAGGGTACGTAGTGTTTGTAACACTGAATCGAATGGTCTTGGTCCGAAGAAGCTGCGACAAACGGTTCCCCAATCGAACGCGCTCCGAATATGGCCATTTTTGTACACAACTAGATGGTGTGGCTACCTGGCTGCACGCTGTGACGTCATCACCTGGATCTGGGTGATGCGCGCTCAAATTCGCACATGTTCGATTGGGCATATCTGACGAACCATAAGCCGCAGCCTCCTCGGACAAAGACCATTCGACTCAGCGACCCGAACTCTACGGACTGTGAAATTTAAATTTTTCACCGGACTTCCCCTTTAAGAGTAACTGTCCACCACTGTAACTTTATACTATAGTAAAAAAATGCAACAACTAGGCACAAAACTGACCTGAGACATTCGACGACCTGACTCCTACCTTCAACACATCTCCGTAGCGCTAACCAACAGCCTTCCAACTTGGAAGGTTCAAGGTTAAAAGGAGAGACCAAAGAGGGGAAGGTAAGCGCACCGAAAATGAGCACAAGCTAGTAGTTGAAGCTACAGTCCCACATGAACAAGAAATGTTGATTGTTACTGGATGATGACGAAACCAGTATTACCTTTCCCTCTTTTGAACACTACGGAGATGTGTTGAAGCCAGGAGTCAGGTCGTCAAATGTTTTAGTGCCTGGTTGTTGCACTTTCTGACTGTATTTAGTAGATAGTGACAGTTTACTCTACACTCATATCCATACGTCCTTTTCCTTTCTACATTAATTGTATTATTGCCATACTGGCTCAACATCCAAGTAACTTAGTTTCAAAGAGCTTTTAGTGGACGACCTAATCCATTTTCGGCAATACTTACAATTATCCAATCAGTCATATTGTAGATCAGGCTATGCTGTGGGTAAGTGTACTCCTGGCCTTGTTTGGCTTATTGTTTGCCAGCGAGTATTTAGCATCATCTACTAGTATTCACTCGTTTGACAGCCAAAGAGTATTTGTGTGGGAGGCTGGGAGTCTCGCACCTGACTTGGTCACGTTGCGCCTGAAGGTCACTAAGACGCGACCATATATGGTGGAGTCGTCGCAGTTCCATCTACTGTCGACGAAACATGCCCGGTATTGGCTATTCCGGTACATAACAGCCCATGCCTGTAGCACTAAGCCTGTGTTCACTTTTGCCAAAGGGATCCACCTTACTCGGCCTTATTTAAATAAGAATACTCTGTCACGCTCTCAACTGTTATCAGGTTAGCTCCTGCTCCATGCCCATTGTTGGAGCGACAGTCCTGGAATCCAGAGTTGCAAGTGAGGTGGTGATACGGCAAGCAGACGGTGGCAAAGTATGGCTTAAAAGCTCTACATCTGGCAAGTGGCCGGTATACCACCCAGTGCTGCCAAATAATTTTCGCCCAAAATCGGACACCCTTCACCGACAAGGCTGGCCAGTGCCACATGGTGCGAATTTTTCTCCTCGGCAATTTTTTTACAGAGAATTCAAAATATCGCCTAAAACACCATGAAAATTCGCTTTGTTGCCATGGTAACCCCGGAGTTGTCATGAATTTTGTAATGATGAGTGTGGTCGCACACTGACTCTGTACAGACTGTCAGTGTACATGCCATCCAGCCTGATCCAGGCATGTTACTTTGCACTGCCACAGCCAAGCGCTAGCCTTTTTAGAAGCAAAATTTATGTACAGTGATTTGTGCCTTCACTTGCGCTGAAAAGTGAAAGTACAGGACTTCTGCATATGAAAGTAATGATCTCCGACATTTTGGCTGTTTTTCGGACGTTTCCCTTTTCGGACCGGTTTTCGGAAGAGCCTTCGAAAATCGGACACTGTCCGAAAAATCGGACGGTTTGGCAGCACTGACCACCCCAATGGACATCGGAACAGTACACGTAGAGTAGCATCTCTACGTGACAGGGTATGAGCGCAAGTGAGTTATTATGCTCTACTAATGTGCATGGATGTGGCAAATGGGATTTAGGCCTTTGGCCTATGGTTGGTGGATCTGATCTATCCTCCCCCACCGTTTAGGAGCCGCATCTGACGCCTGATCATGGGGTGGTGGCGTCCCACGGAAGCGGAAAGGTGGTTCTTGACCAGGGAGTTGTACGACTCCTTGTTCTTGACCTGCCTGGTACGCGAACCCGTCGAATTTATTTATTTAATGTGCATTGATTCTGTGACTATAGTTGGTGCACAGATCTCATCACATGTGCCTTAGGCGGGATTTGCTATTGTCACTGGAAAATTCAGCCGTAACAAACAGTGTGGATGAATTTGACTCCAGGTATCTGCTTTTGGGAATGCCATGTATGCATGTCTGGTGTGCTGCTGCTGCTATAATGTTGTGGCAGCAGCATTTTGGTGCGATGGACTGTTCTTGTAACGGTGTACCTACCCATTTGCTATTGCCGGATGCCGTGTTTTGTCAGTTGTGCCTGTTTCAAGGTGCCAGACCAGCTTGTGTTGGTGCGTTCCCGTTAAGTTGCCAGGGCACCATATTTGTAACGGCGTTCCCGTTTTGCTGTTGTGGGGCTGTGTTTGTATCGGTGTGTTCCCGTTGAAGTTGACGGGGCACCACGTTAGTGGATTGTGCCTGTTTGAAGTTGCCAGGCCAATCCTGTAACGCACACCCGTTTGCTGATAATTGGGGACATGTTTGTCCATTTTGCTCGAGATTCACAGGGCTGCGCCGGTTGCCTTGTGCGGATTAGACTGTTATCTGGCACTAGTCTTGATCTGTTTTATCAGATTCAGATCAGCTATTGTTCCTATGCGAGAAAATCTGTGGGTGCACATTCAATTCATTTGCTGATTTGCGTGCTTCTGCAACGGGCGTTTACATGGTACATGGTGTGTGGGCGTATGTGTGGTGTGTTCATGCTGTACAGGCCAGCATTGCCAAGCACTGGGGACGGACCTTTGGCAATCTGAAAAATGTTTTGTCCGAGAATCGATCCTTGGATCTGTGGCGTTGCAGTTGTGGTGCTCCCGACCCTCTTGCGCGATGGCCGCGGAGACTTGGCGAAAAGGTTCCAGACATACGGCATCTCGATATCTTCCACCACAATCAGTACATCAGCACCACCATCGAGCGTAGCGACATCAGCAATAGAAGACGCACATGATATCATTCCCCCTTAGCGAAGACCCGGGAATACCTGAGAAGATCTTAGCCGCGACTTTACTGGAAAAGTCGTCAGTGACAACGGCACTCCATATTTAGCTGCATGCAGTTAGGTCTCTCAACAAGTGTACCCAAAGTTTTCAAGCTAATACACAAGCAAATTCACTAGGGTCCGAGTATATTTTCCTACACCTCTCCCTGTTTGTTGTTGTTATTTCTGCATTCAAATTGTTTGTGTACCTGTACATTTATTACAGTAGAGCCACGCATCCACGGCTGTTGTTTCCGAGGGGTCAGGCTCGTCAGTTATACAAAACCTTTCAGCAATCTGGCCTTAGGCTTAGTTCCTTGACTTCTTGTACCACTTTCTTAGATGCACATCCCACTGGATAGTGAGCAATACGTGTGTAGCAGAATCTGTATTCCAGAAAAGCAGAGACTAGAGTCTATTGACACTGCGTTTCCTTTTAAAACGTTATTGGCTGTGGTGTTCCTAGAGGTATACACGTACATTCCTGGGTCACGGTCTGTGACGCCCGACTGTATTCGTGGTGCATCAACAATTTTTAATTTTGTGCACTAGTGAAAACCTGCCTGAGGCTGTGAGGCTGTAGAGTGTTGACTGTGTTTTGCTTTAAAAAAACCATCAGGTCTCCCCAGATTTTCAAGTCTGGCCCTGAATTTTGCCACTCTTCGGTTTCAAAATCTAGTGAAAGCCTAGCAGTGTTGTGTGCTAGCAGTGTTGTGTGTGCATGTGTGTATTTTGTACAGTGCTGGCCAGAGAAATCCAACCTCGTTAATAAAGTAGCGCCGCGTTGGAGAGCACAGACCGGTCCAGTATGTAAACTACTAGGGCTGCGTATTGCCCGGCGCAATTTTATTCATAAATTGGATTTCTTTGGCCAGCACTGTAGTTAGAAGTAGGTCCTCTAAGGTCCTCTGTTTGTGCGCAATTATGGTCACAGTGGCAGTAGTGGGTGAGGGGTAGTCTACGAAGATGGTGTATACATGATGGTGTATACAGTCGTGTAGTTGAATGTTACTTCGGGCTTAGATCCAGAAGTTCTTGCAATGATGACCCCAGGTTTATGTACATGTATCATTCAGCTACCGTTGTCATAATGGCACTAGTTGATAGAACACCTGTATAAGTACAGGCTGTATATCTAGCATTTTCCAAAATAGCACTCCGTACTTCGAGGCTGCAGCCGTTTTGCATGCAACGTTGTACGTGTTGATCGGTTGACAGCATGTGACAAAGCCGAGGACACACTAGTGTATCAGGAGCACTGTTTTTTTACACAGTGCGTCCCCCGCCTTGTAACATGCTGTCAACCGATCAACATGTTAATTTATCAAACAAGGCTTACCTATACCAACATTATACATGTAGGGCTGTGCATGCTTTCAAAATTCTTCCTTGTTGAAGTAGATTATCGTGCTTGTGGGGGCTTTAGTAGTTCCTTTGCCAGATGTTCTATGCGTATCTCAATGACTTATCAGTTTCAGCACTCGGGCAAGGCACATTCGGGCCTACACTGTAGCCTTGAATTCTGGCTTGGAGGCATGATTTATCTATTTTCATGGCTGCTAGGTTCATCCTTAGTTGAGAGTTATTTCTCCGTGATTCGCTGATGAGTCCACAAAGGACGAAACAGCTAGACAGTACTAGTGCTGTCCCCAGGTCGTGTATTCTAAATCCATAATACCGACGCTCAATCTCCGGACAGCTGTTTCAACCTTTTTAGGTCTCATCAGTGGAGCTCAGAGCGGGAGGTTAAACAAATGGCAATACGGTCTATATGAAATGAACAAAAAAAGCAATTTGAAAATGGCTCAAAGCATCAAAGTCAGCGAGCTATCTGCAAGACACGTACAAAGAGAGCTTTGCACGAAGGCAGATACATATTACATATACCTTTGACACTAACCAAAAAGAGTGCTCAATCAAGTCAACGCAAGGCAGCGTAATGCGGTGATTGAGTCTATAAAAAGCTATAGTGACATGTAGCCAGGCCCCCAGCACAATAAGCTGACTTGCATCATGCTAAAATCGTTCACACAAATCTCTTATAATAATTATTATGTAGATTGCAGGATAGGGTGGTTGCACCAGGAAGTGCTGTCTCTGCAATAGTGGGACCAGCCAAGATTGCAGTACAGTCGTCCACCATCAATCCAGCACTTCACTGGCCAACGCCCTCGATACACCAGAATGATTTCCGGAGTTATTACCATTCATCGACACATGTCCCCCCCCCCCCCCAGTTCTTCGGCACCTGACCCGAGTTCTATTTGGGCCGCACTACTTTGTAGCAGTCATACTATAGTACTAGAACTGGATGCACGTGATATCCACTGGAATTGGCGCTGGCCATGAGCTGACCCACCGTCGTGTCTCCCAGTGTCAATTTTGCTTATGTGATCCTACCACAATCTGGAACATTATCAGTTCTCGCCTCTGTTGACTTGCCAGCACTAGTTCTGGTGGATCCGGGCATGTGTCTGCCTTCTCTTTAGCATGTATTCTCCTGCAGGTGCATCTTTCACCTCCTTCTAATGCGCGAGCACATTTTCTGTGGAGATTCAACGACACATACACCAGAAAATACAGAACGGAACAGTGGCTGCCAATGCGACACAAGTACCACATAGACCTAAAAACTCATAAGCACCATGGGAGTTAGATGCATTTACGGGCAGTATGCCAGGATTTGCGCAGCTAATTTAAAATCAGATTAGCAATGCTGTGTGCTACCTAGGCAGCATCTTGGACTCAAAAACCAACCGATTGTGGTCCAACCCAACCGACAGCGTTGTCGGTGGGTTCCGATTGGCAGGTGTTGGATGGACGTATGATCCATGCGTCCCCACAAGCAATGAGAAGTTAACAATGCCACTAAGGATATAATATCGCGGACAGCAGTACAATGAAACTGGGCCATTCATTATCAGCAATATCAGGGGTATATCCCATCCGATAAGACGTACAGCTCGTGTATGGCGGACTTTACAGCAGGTCCCGACATAGCTTGCCCCGTGCCCTTTACTACTCCTGGGCCAAAACTGTTGTACAATATTCGAGAGGGTCTAGCCTAGTGAGTGTGAACAGAACCTGGCAAACCATATCTCCAAGTGATTCACATGTTGGTATATTCTCCGTTATCATACATCAATTCCGAGCAATTTGACACCCGAATATTCTCGCACCACTACTGCTGAAGTATTGACCACAAACCATGTTCCATTTGACTTACAAAAGGAACTTGCAAAAGGCATGAGAGCACTGGAATCTGTAAAGACTCTCGCATTATTAGCCACCATACATACCTTTCGGGAAGTCGTGTTGGAAGCAGCATGCTTGGAGAGCAGAGCTGAGTGAGATCTGCATACAGTAACACAGCGACAATGAACCACATGAACAGAAGGAAGCAGTCGTATCCGTACACATCTGAATATGCGCTTATGGGAGGAAAATCCGTGCAACAAAAGAGGACCGTGTTATGCAGGTGTATGTCTTACCCGGGTACGTACTAAGTGAGTTCCACCATACGTATATAATTTTATTGCAATTGAATCACTTGACTGACTGGAGCCAAAAATATCAATTGGCACTTACTCCGGTTACCCGAATGTTTCGGTACCACTATCAGTATGGTTTTTTGCAATCGAACCAATTCATAGTTGAGTCATTTTCAATGCGTTAGGTGTTACCTGACGTGCTCACTGCATCAGCCGCTATGTCAGATTCCACCAGGCATGCACCAAACCAGGCGCAATGCGCACACTGATGATGGTGGTTGGCACACAACGAGCAGTAGTAAAAGTGAAAGGACTTTTTGAATGTGATTTTGTTGTAATTTGTGCCAGTCGAATTGTCTCAGTGTAACTAGTTTATCGTTAGCTTACTAGTTTGTTTATACAAAAGAGAAAGACCAAGGAACTACAAGTTACGCTATACTGTCCACTAACACCACCAGTTACTAAACAATCAGCTCATGCGATAGCTATTGCACGACACTGAACAGCTCTAGCACATCTTGGATGCGCACTCCAACAGCCTTGTGGACGACGACCGTCACTGGAGAATCGGTCCGTCGCTCCACCAGCCCGGCGGCACAGTGGACAGTGCCTTGGGGGTGTCAGCCATGGATCAGGCTGATAAGGACGTGGTGGAGACGGAAATGATGTTTGCAAGGAAGAGTGATGATATGCGTATGTGCTCTTAATCTCAGGGTCGTGGGTTTGAGCCCACGTTGGGCGCCAAATGTCGTCTCGGTTGGAGAACGAGCTGCCTCTACTATACCCTCGCCACGCCACACATCAACGGACTAGTCAAGTGGTTTTTCTCTAGAGCTAGAGAGAGAGAGCTATTCATTTACTACACTTCAGGAGACGATGGGAGAACTGACAACTGACATGGCAAAAGGAAACATATCGGAAAGTGGTGCCCTCATCAGCACAAAAAGTGGCGTACTCGATATCATATCAGCACAAAAAGGTGCACGTGTCAGCAATACAACAAAGCAGCGCAGCAGCATGTACGGGTCAGCAGCACAGAGACACAAATACAGCAGCAGGTACGACAAAGAGACAACACGTGCAGCCACATGTACAACATATGGGTGTGACAGTCCATATATGTATGTGTGAACACTACACACGATGAGAACATGCAAAGTATGGAGACCCAGACTGTGTGGTCAGCAGGGCACAGCCCGTACAGGGTGGAACAGACAACTAAACGTAATAAAGCACCACGTACCGGCGGACTAGTCGACGCTGATGGGAGAAGTGGCACCCCCTGAGGCAGCTACGGATGCTAGAACTCTACAGCCAGACCAACACCAATATAAAACAAAAGGGTACACCACACCAGGAAGCAAGTCAAATAAAGATGTGTGAACAACAGCCACACACCACAGAAAAGCATACAGAACAAAAACTCAATTACCGACACCATAGACACTGCAAAATCCAAACAGGAGGAAAATACTAACTCCCTGAGGACACTGAGCATGAGGCAAACGAGCAAGCAACCTCTTGCCGATGTTCCACCGTGCAACAACAATTTGCCGGGCCGCACTGGCCACCGGACTGTATGGTAGGGGTATTACACCTGGACCTCAAGACCAACGGGCGAAGGACAGCAGGCCGGGCCCAGGTAAATACAATGAGGAGCACTGTACACAACTACAGAAATAACCCAAACCCATGCCAATCTGGCCAACATACCTTCCCTGCGCATCCATTCCTAGTGTACGGGTCTGAAAGATGAAAGATGGAGCGCTTGTATACACGGACCCGGAAAGCCTGCTCCGGCCGCTCGGCAGAAGCTTCGTAGTGGTAGTCAAGGGTCGAAGACCGACGGATACGGATCAACTCACCAGTGAACACACCTTTTCCCATACTACAGGGGTGGTTACTACCGACAAGCAGATACAGGAAACGATTGGTGAACTTGAAATGGGGCTTCACCGCCATGTATCCCTTACTACGGAAAACTGTGGTGTCCAGGAAATCAATGCCATCATGTGCCAGTTCATGAGCAAACTTGAGGGCCGAACACTTATTAATCCTATCTAAAGTGCGCTGAACTTGACCTTCGCAACCATGCAATGATAAAGCGTCTATAAACCTGAACCTCTAAACCCTCCCCCTCTAAGATCGGAAAAACGTACCACTTCTCCAAATACAGCCGCATGATAA